GGACGCTTACCAAGACCGTGGAGGACCATGCTTGCAATTCTGAACAGGTGTTGTACTGCCAAACACACTGGCTTCGACAAGCGCAGTATCTACCTCCTGACCATCTTCCATGGTATCGCTTTCGTGAAGAACTATGACTACGACTCGCTGATATGGGATGAAGTTTTTGAGCTAGTCAGAAAGAGGACGAAGACGGACCAGATCAAACACCTTCCCTACATGAGGTGGTTTTCCCTGATTGTGCGACATATCTCCCGATCCACTCCAGCAATTCCTCGACGACTATAAAAGGAGAATGTCTACATATCGTCCGTCCAACGCCTCAAGAAAATGTCTGAGGATCGCACACTGGTACCGATGACTATACCAGTGGCTCTTCTACAGTTAGCTGATCCGAATGATCCATCTGTCCGATGCTACTGTGAAGAGAACAACATTATATTCCCTATGGCTCAGATAAACCCCCCTGAGCCTACCCCAGGGAGTCAGCCGAGTGTAAGTGAGGGTCCTGAGGGTTCAACCCGGACACAGAGACCAGTGGCAAGTTGGCCCCATGATGATCAGACTACGTCTGCTGAGGGCCACACCCGTGCTGAAGAGACTACCCATGATTCATCAAGCGTAGCCAGAACATTAGACGCTGATGATAAGAACTCTGGGAGCAAGGCTGAAATGAGCGACAACGATGAAGGTGATGAGGATGATGATGACGCGAACGATAACTCAAGAAAAGCCAAGAAAGCCCCCGTTCAGAAAGGAAGACTCATTATCAGGCTTTCTAGGGCTACAAACAAAGAGGAGTCTCACCAGATCAAAAACACTGAAGGAAAAATCATCAGTGAAACTCGCTCTAAGGTACGTCATGATAACCCCTCCTCATCATCCATTCTTATGCAAAGAGTACAAACGGACATCGCCATTGGTGAAGACATGGCCATATTTGATAGATGTTCCGACTTCGAAGAAATAAACCGGACTAACCCCATAGGAGCAGAGACTGATATTTTCAGTTTCCGGGTAGAAGACGCAGCATCTAGCCCAACTGCGCATGCACAAGCCCAACCTAGCCACTCTACTGCCTCCCAACAGGTAGTAGTTTCACAAAGAGGGGATACTACACCCACCTCTCTGCCTCCCTACGACGCAGTTGAGGACCTATACAGTGGTCTATCGTCCCGGACCACTACCCCTCCTTCAAACACGATGAGTCTAGGTGTCACACTCCCTACATTTTCAAATTTTTCTAGGACACCTACACTTCTCACACCACTGCACTCAACAGGTTCACTTTACCTGTCAACAACGATCAGAGATACGTCAATGATGATCGGAAGTCCTGCTGCTCAACAGATAACTCAATCATTATCTGCAGGCCACACTTCGGTAATCTTTACTGATGCTGTGACAACGGTTACTACCCCTGTAACCGGACAGCCCGAACCTACCGACCTTTCTGTCATTCTGCAGCGTTTCATGAATTCCACCATCAAACCCTGGGTGCACGAAGCAATAACCGCTCAAGCACAGGAATTCATGACCACACAGGCGCTACAGATTGACACTACCCAACCACAACCATCCACCTCTCACTCCCAACAACAACTTACCCCCATACTAACCCTACAAACATCTGAACCATCAACCACACAACCTCAAACATCTACCATTTCAAGGGGATCCCAGGATACAGAACGTGTGTCCTCCCCTACAATGACCACACCTCACCCTAACCCATATACTATTCATTTTGAGGAACTCGAATCTATTTGCACTCTCATTTGATTCAAAGGAATGTTCCTTTCTTTTTGTGCCGGTAGAGGATTTTCGGAGCTTATTAGAGGATGAGTTCTTCTTCGGCATCTTGTTGTTAAACCTGGAAGTAAGAAGTGTTGTCTGCTTTTGAAACTCACGTAGTTCATCATCATTATCAGTTTCTTCCCAGAAACCAATGTCACTATCAGCACTTTCACTTTCTTCAGCTTTCATTTTATCTTTCTTGGAGCCAGATTTGTAGGGTTTGTCAAGCATCAGCGCAAGAGTATCGGTTAATTTGTCAACAACATCCTTTCCTTTTTCAGCCATCACAGTGGTGTGAACATAGTCAGAAAAGTCTTCAGCATATTGGTCAAGTGTGTTGTATACAGCATGAATGTCCATATCATCAAGATCTTTTGTATGCCTGCTCTGTGAGCATAGCCTTCTCCAATCCGGTCCAAGTGCCGATAGAAACCTCACATTAAGCTCCATGTTTGATTTGTGAACTCCGATCTTTCTCATTTCATTTATCAGTTGTAGGAACCTGAGATAGGTGTCTTCAAGAGATTCTCCTAGCTTTGCTTTGAATGAGTCATAAGCTGTGAATGTGCTTGCTTTCTTTGCTTTGACTCCTATTTCAGTTCCTAGCATAATTTTGAAGATCTCATCGCACATTTCTTTCGCAGTTGACATGCTATCAATTTGCATGTAGATTTCATTTGGGATAGCTTGGAGCAGGTAGGTCTTTGCGAGTAAGTCAGCACAGATTCTTGCTCGGTCTTCATCATCATATTCATCAACGGTCTTCGGTCGCAGATCAACTTCAAGAGGTGGATTGTTCTCATCATTTCTTTCAATAGCTATCAGTAGCTGAGCAGGTCCATTGGTGATTGAGTCCAGCAAGCCAGAAGATTGATCTTTGCTTTCGAGAAAGTTAAGGAACATGTTCTTCCAAACATTGTACTCTCCTCTTCTTAGAATTGGGGGTCTAGTGTCATTTCCTATGGAAAGAACATCCATCTTTTGGATCAGGCTGATCTATTGATTGTTTAGGGTTTGTCTAAGTTTGTAGAGTTCTTCGAGCAGAAGGTTCATATACTGGTGGCTTCACTTGTTTGAAAATTTGCACAGAGAATAGCGCACAATAGAATGTCTCAGCACCTAGAATTGCGCACGGCTACAAATCTCGCACATAGAGAATGGCGCATAAAAGAATGGCGCACGGCTGTGTAAACGGTGCACGATTCTTTAGCAAATGGCGCACGAGACTTTTAGCAAATTGGCGCACGAGAGATTTTGAAAATGGCTCATGACAGATTTTGAGAATAGCTCATGAGAGATTTTGAGAATAGCTTATGAGAGATTTTGAGAATGGCTCATGAGAGATTTGAAGAATGGCGCACGAGAGATCTGCACAAGGAGTAAAAATAGGTTTAAGTTTCACGCACAACCTCTAACGCGCAGGAAAGAGATTCACGCCTGAAGCCTTAAAACTATTTCTTCCTCAGCGCGATGCGCTAAAGTGCAGAATCACTCTTCCTCTGCTTGACCTGTACGTCAATGATATTGCTGAGAAAAATTACAGAGAATGATCCTAGCAGTTACAGAAACATAATCCTTCATACATTTTCCTGCCAAATCAGTAAAAGCAAACAATCTACAAATCGCTCATGAGGAGAAAACAGGTGATGAAGTTTGGCGCAAGCTTCTTCTTCTCCGCTTCAATCGGTCGATCAGTCCCGCTCTGATACCAAATGTTGGTCCCTGTGATGTACACTACAATAATGTGTAAAGATGGATATGTATAAGTGTAAAGGAAGGTTTTCATTGATGGCCAGGAAGTTTACAGAATGATAGAGAACATTAACATATAACTTCAGTTGGCTCTCAAACAGTCTTCCTACGCATTCTAAAGGCCTCTCCTACGCATTCTCCAAAAGCCTCTTCTACGCATTCTACAAAGGGCGTATTTATAGCCTTTGTAGAATGGTAGGTTACATATCATTGGGCTCATATCCCAAAGAGGCCCATTCCATTTTAGGAATATGGCCTTTACCATAAATGGCCTATCTAATGAATTAAAATACTAGGCTAGATAAAATACATGGATCACAATCATAAATATCTCTAACATCCTTGCAACTACTGGCATAAGCAGCAAAGGTTTGTTGGTAGTTATCATAGGAACCGCCACTTTATTATGAGCATATGAAGCATCAACTGTATCTTCCTGCAACCTAGCCAATTGAATTGCTTCAGTAATAGACCTAGGATGAAATGCTTGTACAAATGACTTCAAAGTAGGTTTCAGTGCAGCTAAGAAGCAATCCAAAAAGTAATCCTTGGTTAGTTTGGCATTTCTTTGCATCATTTGTGCTTTAAGTGTCTCAAATTCATCAATGAAGTTTTCGATAGATCCGGTATGTTTCAAGCCATTAAACTTCTCTACTAATTTATTACTAGTTTGGTCATTGAATCTGGCCTGAATATCATCACAAAATCTGCTCCATTTCAAATTCTTCTTAGTCACGACATAGTTACAAAACCAGCTAGTTGCTCGTCCCTCCAAATATAATGATGCCAGGTTAACCTTCTGAGAATCAGGTATTTTGCATAACATAAAATACATCTCACATTTCTGAATCCAAACTTTCACACTGGCCTTCAAATGACGGAAACTCCACCCTCGAAAGAAATTTGAACGTTTAATTACCTGGATTTGATCCAGATATATCATCTTCATCATCTTCCGTAGAATAGGCTCTTTCTGATTCATCTCCATCAGGATCCTTATGTATATGAATCTCTATTTGTTTATTCTTTTGCAATTCTACCATCTTCTTCATTAGCTTGCCAACGATGTCCATTAGCGACTTGTTTTGATTCTCCAATTTGAAATCAAACTCCATCTACATTGCCTTCAATGTCTCCTCCATCTCAGTAGCTGAACTGCGCATGTGTACCATGTGTTCGTTCTACTGCGTATTGCTCCAATGGATCAAAGCTCTGATACCACTGTTACGATCCAGGTTACTCTACGTGAAGAATGGAGAAAGAGTAACGAGAATACTTAATGCATGCAAAGCTAGAATATAGAAAGGGAAGGGAAATGTGTTTATTCATCACCAAAGCATAAGGAGTATACATCCGTCACAGGCCTTATATAGCCGTAACTAACATACTAACTGTTAACTAACATGCCACGTCAGCTAACTAACTAACTCCAGTATCATGTTGCTCCGGAGGACTTCGAAGAAAACGGAGACCGCTGCGTGCCGCTCTAGGACGAAGACGTTCTGCTCTCCATTAACGCTCATGCACGACTTGCTGCTCCATGTTTGCTGCTCCAGGTAAATTCTCAATATTATTCTGAATATTTTTTCCATTAGGCTAGCTGCACTTGTTGTTTACAGATCCAGTGTTGTGTATTTCTTTGAAATTCAAATAAAACATGATAAGTTCTAGTTAGTTTTTGTTCACTTTTCACCGTAAATCTGTGATTTTCAAGAATATAGGGTGGTTTTCCTATTCTGCTACCATTTGTGCCTGATTTAGCTGTGTTATTTCTCTTTCGAAGGTGTCAAAAAGGTGAAATAATGACACTGCCACCAACATAGTTTTAAATTTTTACTAATACTTGGTTGTTTTTAATCTTTTATGTTGATTGTGTTTTCTCTTTGAGATATTTTTGTTGGTTTTTAATTCTCTTCTGCTATCTTTTATGTTGTGTGTGTTTATATAAACATGTATCTTTCAAGGCTAAGGTTGAAGTTTTTATGTCTCCTTTTTCAGGCTGAAGTGGCACCGTGGAAGCAAATTAAGGACTATTACCTTCTTTATTCAGGTGACAGAGAAATGAAATGAAAAAAGGATGCATCTGAGGAAGAAAACATTGGTGTTGGTACCTCTACTAAGGAAGCATATTTTCAAGGTATGATTTTAATTATGTGTGTAACTCTTTATATTTGTTCATCTCCATTGCTCATCTCCTCTCTAAGCTGAAGTGGCATCGTAGAAGTCAATAAACTTTTTATGCTTATTTTACTGATAGCATTGCTTTTTGAATTTGCAGCCAAAATGACCTCTTATTCAAACCTTCTTTAAAGATTCAAAGAAATCTTAGTCATGCAACCAAAAACTCTATTTTCAAGTATGCTCACTCTTTAAGAAGTTCAACACAAAATGGATATTCTTAACCGGTGTTCTGATAAATGAGTATAGTAGAGTGAGTCTTCCGGTATATTTATTATTTATAAGTCAAAACTTCTAGCATTCCAAATTTCCTATTGAACATTAAGCCAGTATAGAGAGAGTACTTATGAAGGAGTATAGTAGACAGATTTTTTAAAATAATGAACTCAATTATGGAGAGTTTTAGGTAAGGGGGGAAATTCCAAATGGATTAATGAGATTAATGCTTAATACACAACTTTTATGTCGACAACGGTTTAACCACACAAAAAATACACAACTATAAGATTATGGGTTATGTTGTTTAACTTCAAAAAATAAAATTCAAAGACTAATGACAAATGCCCCTTAAAGTATTTCCTTTCCATCACCATTTCGTGTATGCTAGAGTATAATTGGTTATTGTGGATATCTAAACTATGTATCCACCTCTTTGTATAGGGCTCCAATTTTACCAATGCCCTATACCAAACAATTGGTGTTGTTTTAGAATCTGTTGAAGGAAATTATTTAATGTGCATTCATTATAGATAGAAAGTATATCTAGGGATTATATGTATTGAGCTAATGGAATGAACACACCTCTCTCACTTCCCTACAACACGTTATCAGCACGTAGCTCTAAACCTATTTTCTTTTCGGTAATCCGCATATACAGCGCACCATTTTTATAATATATGCATATTAGATTACTAATATATTGTTCAACTCGTTTTTACACAAAAAAAATAATTTAATTCGACATATAACTCCATTTATTTAAATTCGAAATAATTTTTTTCTTGAAATAAAATAAAAATAAAAATAAAGAATCGATAATTAAATTAGTTCTTAACTCCATTTTTTTGATAATTAAAATATATGGCAAAATATTATTTCGAAAATATAGTACTAAAAGAATATTAAATTCGTTTTTTTTTCAAACAAAAAAAAGAACGAGATATGCCTAATCCATTCATTAGACCAATATCAATACATTCTACATTAAACACACCATCCTACAAAAATCTCTATGATTTTTAAGGAGATAAATATATATGTCCTCCTTTCAATGCATTATAAAATATTGTCTACAAAGATACATACCTCATGACATTTCTGTATGTGATAAAGAATTTTCACACAAAGAATCACATTTTTTATTCATATTTTTAGCGATAAATGGTACTATATGACACTCATAGAATTTTATATTTTAAGATGACTGATCCAACTCACCCCGAGTTTGACATCCTGGACTCAGAAGGACTTGAGTACCATCGCTGGGTTTCCGACATAGAAACCACTTTTGTGGCTAAAGACTATTCCGCCACGCTTGCCGACCCCGAAAGTTTAAAAGACAATACACCGTCTGGAAAAATAAAGGCTGCCGCATTAATGTTCCTTAGATGCCATATTGATCCTAGCTTATGCTGGGAATATTTACAATTGAAAACCCCAAAGAACTATGGGACGCACTAAAAGGTCATTTTGGGAACATACATGACACATTGCTCCCCGAACTGACAGTGCAGTGGAATGAAATCCGCTTAGTTGACTACAAAAAGGATCAACGATTTTAATAAGGATATGTTACGCCTCAAAGCGCGCCTTAATTTCTGTTGTAAACCAATCACAGAAGATGAAATGATTATTAAGACCCTCTCCACTTTCCCTACCTCAGCACTTATACTAGCGAACCAGTATAGGTTGGATCATAATAACAAAAGAATAACCACATTTAATCAGTTAACTAATTTGCTCCAAGTTGCTGAAAGATAAAGTCAAGTTCTCTTGAATAACAATGCCAGACCAGTTGGGACAAAGAAAATTCCTGATGTCAACTATGGCAAAGCAAACACTGGAAAGCACCATATTGGAAAAGGAGAGGGCCGTACTCGTGGAAGGGGGCGCAACAATCGTGGTGGGCGTGGAGGCCGAGGTACGGACCGTGGAGGATCTTCCAATGTGTGGAAGGGAGATACAAGCGTAGGGACTAGTGGTCACACTAACAAGGCCCGTAGTGCGCCGTCAAAACCTCCAGTCAAATGAGACCGAGTTGGCTGGGGAAGAGCCGTGCTACAGATGCGGAGTTTCAGGTCATTGGTATAAGAATTGTCAAACCAGTAATATAGTTGCTGCTGCCTACAAGAAATACCGAGAATCCAAAGAACATGAATCTCAGTTTGTGACAGACGAAGGAAATGAGGTAGATGTTAACCTCACAGTGGCGGACTTTGGTGTTAAAAATAACACAACCCATTCAATCGATGCACCGGACTTTGATTAATTCCCCCCTATCCCACTAGATAATTTAACACATTATGTTTTTTTTTCATTCCTTTTCATCTCCTGCTTATGGACATTACATGCTTATTGTCATTTTAATAATTGGATTCAATTTTTGAAATCCAAATATATACCAACAATTATCTAATGCATGTTTACACAAGAATGACTTAAGGAGAACTCGAATGTTTAGTCGATAGTGGGACAACCCACACTATCCTTAGACATAGGTAACTTTTTATTCAATTAGTAGCATATAAATCCTCTGTGACTACGTTGATTGGATCATCGAACATAATACAAGGGCGAGGCACCACCAAATTTATGCTACCTAACGGTACCACATTCCACGTCACACACGCTCTATATGCACCCAAAGCTACTCAAACTTTATTAAGTTTTAAAGATATACGGGATAATGGTTTCCACGTTGAAACTCATAGTGAGAATGGGATAGAATACCTATATATCACAGCTAGTAAAAGCGGAAGAAAACGCATATTAGAAAAATTAATAAGTCAATCTAGTGGACTCTATGTCACTACTATTCGAATCTTCGAATCATATGCGGTCTCCAACAATGATATGTTGGACATAGACTCATATAGGCTTTGGCATGATCGTCTTGGTCACCCCGGTCGTGACATGATGATTCGAATTCTCAAGAATTCACATGAACACCCTTTCTTTCGAGAAAGGAATAAAGAAGGGCGAAAAGTCAACACAGTACAAATTGTTAACCATGCGGCTCCTCCACAAGGACAACTATCTTCTAAAGCACAAGAAGAACTAGCTCATGCTTCCTTAACTATATCCACACTACAAAACTCATTTTTCAAAGCCTGCTCTTTAGCAAAAATAGGATCGAGACCATCCTATGTTAAAGACACAAAACAAAACATCCCATTATTACAAAGAATTCAGGGAGACATATGTGGACCGATCCATCCATAATGTGGACCATTTAGATACTTTATGGTTCTGGTGGGCGCATCGACCCGTTGGTCACATGTTACCTTATTGTCCACAAGAAATGCTGCATTTGCAAAACTCCTAGCACAAATAATTCGTTTAAGGGCTCACCACCCCGATCATCCTATAAAGTCCATCAGACTTGATAACGCTGGAGAGTTTACATCAAAGACATTTGATGACTATTGCATGTCTATCGGGATCGACATAGAGCATCATGTTCCCCATGTACACACACAAAATGGTCTCGCAGGAGCTACTATTAAAAGATTACAAATGATATCTAGGGCATTGGTTATGCCCACAAACTTGCCTATATCTGCATGGGGATATGCATTATTACATACAGCCTTACTTATTCAATTTAGGCCCACTGTTAACCAACCATTTTCTGCGTACCAGTTGGTAACTGGATATGAGCCTGACATTTCACACTCACGCATATTTGGTTATGCAGTCTATGTGCAAATTGCGCCACCACAGCGCACCAAAATGGGTCCTCAAAGGCGATTAGGAATATACGTTGGATACGAATCTCAATAATAATCCGCTATCTAGAACCTTTGACAAGCGATCTTTTCACCGCAAGATTTGCGGATTGTCACTTTGATGAGACAACATTCCCGTCGTTAGGGGGAGATAAGAAAAAGGATTTTTCTGAAGAACGACGTGAATTATCCTGGTGTGTTTCTACACTGTCTCCTTTTGATCCCCACACCTCACACTGTGAAAGTGAAGTGAAAAGAAAAATAGACCTACAAAATGTAGCAACTGCAAATGTGCTTGCAAGGTTAGAAGTCCCTAAGGGAGGGCACAGTGCCATAGTAGGAGGCACTGCAACCACACTTAGTGGAGGTGTGGTTGAGGCCGTGGCTACTCAAAGGAAGAGAGGAAGACCACTTGGTTCGATTGATACTCGTCTAAGGAAGAAGAGGACGAGTACGGCACAACCTAATCCATTAATCATCGATGAACAACATCCATCCCATGAGATTATCTCCGATTATAGTTATGTCCATGAATCATTACTGGAGGACGCTTCGATGATCGAAATGAATCTAGAAAACAAGGAAATCTCTATGGATCATGAAAATGCACATGTGCTAATGGAAAGATCTTCCATACACATTGATGATATATTTGCATTTATAGTTGCTCAAGAAATCATAGAGCACGATGATATTGAACCTCACTCTGTGGCAGAATGCCAACAAAGAGCTGATTGGCCTAAATGGAAAGAAGCAATCTAGGTTGAATTAGATTCCCTGACAAAAAGGCAGGTATTTGGTCCGGTGGTGCTAACCCCACCAAGTGTAAAGCCTGTAGGACATAAATGGGTATTTGTCAGAAAGCGTAATGAGAAGAATGAAGTCTTAAGGTACAAGGCTCGCCTAGTGGCGCAAGGTTTCTCACAACGCCCTAGGATTGACTACGAGGAGACCTACTCTCCTGTAATGGACGTTATCACGTTTCGATACCTAGTCAGCTTAGCAGTTTCTGAAGGATTGGAAATGCAATTGATGGATGTGGTTATTACATATCTCTATGGGAATCTTGATTTAGAGATATATATTAAAGTACCCGATGGATTTTCACTACCTAAATTAAGTGACTTTAAACCATGGAGTGTGTTTGCAATAAAATCGAAACGCTCACTTTACGGATTAAAACAATCCGGGCGGATGTGGTATACCCGCCTAAGTGACTACTTGATTAGGAAGGGATACAAGAACGATGTGCTTTGCCCTGTGTATTCATAAAGAAAACGAGTTCCGGATTTGCAATCATAGTAGTATATGTCGACAACATGCACATAATTGGCACTCTTGATGAAATAAGAGAAACCGCAAGCTATTTGAAATCCGAGTTTGAGATGAAAGACCTTGGGAAAACTCGATTTTGTCTAGGTCTTGAATTAGAACATCGAGTTTGTGGAGTATTAATCCACCAGACTGCGTATATACAAAAGGTACTCAGGCGATTTAACATTGATAAAGCGCACCCTGCTAGCACTCCCATGGTGGGCCGAAGTCTAGATCCTAAAAAGGATCCATTTCGTTCAAAGGAAGATGATGAGGAGACATTAGGAGCTGAAATTCCATACCTGAGTGCAATAGGCATATTATTGTACTTAGCACAATGCACTCGGCCCGACATAGCATTCTCAGTGAACTTGTTAGCTAGATTTAGCTCTGCGCCTACGCAGCGTCACTGGAACGGTATCAAGAATGTCTTTAGATATCTTAAAGGGACCAGTGACTTGGGACTGTTCTTTCCCTACGGAGAGACGAAGGAAACCACAAATGGAGTAGTGGTCACAAAGGACAAAACGGTCACCCCCTGAAAGCCCCAAATGATGTCTTGGTAGGTTTTGCTGATGTTGGGTACCTCTCTGACCCACACAAAGGTCGTTCCCAAACTGGCTATGTTTTTACTTTTGGGAACACGACAATATCCTGGAGATCAACTAAGCAAACCCTTGTGGCTATCTCCTCGAACCACTCGGAGATCATTGCTCTACATGAGGTGGTCCGTGAGTGTATATGGTTAAGAGCTATCATTAGGAACATTCGAGGAATTAGTGGTTTAAAGTCTACCACTGAAGAGCCAACCTGCATTTACGAAGATAATGCAGCCTGTATCGAATAAATGAAATTAGGATACATCAAGGGTGACAATACAAAACACATCTCTCTTAAGTTCTTCTACAATCAGCAACAAAAGGCCTTCCTCAAGATTCAAGTAAATCAAATAAGCTCGGAAGAAAACGTAGCAGACTTGTTTACCAAGTCATTGCTCAAGGCCACGTTCGAAAAGCATGTGAAAAACATTGGAATGCATAAGCTTTCTGAAATCCCTTGATTAATGTAAATATCAGGGAGAGGTGTAGACTTCAGTGGGAGTATTACACCCTCACGTTATACTCTTTTCCTTAAACCAAGCTTTATTTTTCTCCCATTGGGTTTTTGTTACTTGGTAAGGTTTTTAACAAGGTAACTGTGAGTAACGATCAAGGTAAAGAATCCAAAAGGACTCAATGAACGAAGTCCAATAAACTCTAGCCTCTTGTCAAGGTTTATTTTTCCCGCAGGGTTTTTGTTACTTGACGAATTTCATACACGACAACTAGCTTGGTGTGCATCATTCTATCTACAACTCAGCACAAGGGGGAGTGTTGCAGGAAATTACTTTGATGTGCATTCGTTATAGATAGAAAGTGTATCTAGGGATTATATGTATTGAGCTAATTGACCCATGGGCATATTCCTTGTAAAACCCTAATCCCTCCTATTTAAAGGGGGCTTACTAATGGAATGAACACACCTCTGTCACCTCCCTACAACCGAATCTAATATATTCAGATCCAAGAATACGGTTTCTTAAAAATAGAGTCAGATTAATCAAATTTTTTATATTAACTTATAACCTAACTTAATTATCTTTCTAATAAGTATTTGCATTAAATCAAGTAGTGAGATGATCACAACTTGATTTTCTAAAATAAGTATTTCATTAATCATCATCATGATGGCATACAATGTAGTTAATATCATTTAGTGGTATCCCATTTTCACGGAAGGTTTTCTTATTCCCATATTGATCATTTGGTATATTTTAAGGGTATCCTTTGTGCACTAAAGAGTTTTTTATTCCCCAAATGGTGTTACAGTTGAAGTTAAGTAAATCAATTTATCTTTGGTTTGGCACAAATGATTTTTGACTTAGCTATAATATTACTACTATACAATAGTTTCCTTTTTTAACAGTAGGGTTTCTTGTTTTGACAGGTCTACTCAATTCGTTTCTGCAAAAAAAACCTAATGTAATTTCTGCTACTGATCAGTTCTAAATTTTCCTCTCGAATGTTCGCTGCAAGTTTATATGTGAAGACATTCTTTTTTGCCAATATATAATGTTTGCCATAAGTTTATATGTGAAGAAATTTGTTTTAATATATAATCAATTCTAGATTTTCCTCTAGAATGTCTGCCGCAAGTTTTTATGTGAAGACATTCTTTCAATCCCCTGACAATGAAATGTAATATATAATGTGTTCATAAGGTGTATAGAAACCCTATCCCTTCATCTTTCAGCCTTACGATTCTTTGTTGGCTTAGACTTCTTACTGAGAGAGTTCTAAGTCTCCAAGTCTTTGTTTTCCAATAGTGTTATATGCTAGGAAGAACAAGTAGATATTTTGTCTTTATCTTGATCAGTACTTAACTTATATATCATTATTCATCTAATAACCCTTTTCTTATATTTGGCTTTTGTTGCTGATGCTCAGTTACATTTGCCTGCAGTGGAGTGTACATTAGGCCTGTGCCGATGAAGGATAACAAGAATGGAACTTTTTTAAAGAAAGATTGTGATTTCTTTGTAGTGGTTGTGGTTGGGGCTTCACTTGATTGAAGAATGTACTTTAGGCCTATGATTGTAAATGATAACAAGAGTAATTATTTTGTTAAAAAGGACTGTACTTTAGGCCTATGATTTGATGATAGTTGGATATCATCATTCCCAGAAAACGGGTACATGTTTTGATGGAAAGGGACAACCCCATGTAGCAAATAAATATTTTTTTAAGGAACTGAACACACTCACTTTGGCCTTCCTAATTGAGTGTCCATTCAAGCCTTCAAGGGCCCCCATTATTAAGTTTGTGACAGTCTGTTTTAATCTGATTGTTTTGTCAAAAAAATCTGATTGTGGATAGTCATGAAAACACATGCTTGGACATTTTTCAAGATAGGTGGTAGATCCAGAGTTTGCTTGGAGAACCAAACATGAGCACACCTCTAAATTCTCATATAGCAACCCTATGACCTATGGGAGAATGCTATACATAAGAAAGCTATATACCACTGTGTTGATTTTTCATGATAAACAGATAAAGTATAAGGAGAGAGTGGAAGTGGTTAGGTACTACTGATAAATTGTAGTATTTGCCATCTCCAAACAGGTATTCCAGAGTTATTTTCGAGATATAAATTATGGGTTGAATTGTTAGTAAACTATTTCCCTCATATTTTTCGTACAACAACAGCTGCACTGTTAAAATTGTTATGCAGCTTTTCTAAACCTAAAAAAGCAGAAAAGTTGCTACTTAGCGTTTCAAAGCTAAGTAACCCAATGTTAGATCTGCATTTAAAAATAATGTGCTTCTATTTCTATTTGTGGTTGGAACACCATTCAACATAACTGTCTCTCTGGCTATGTTAACTCTTTGGATTCTCTTTCCAATAAGATTTTATATATTTATCATGGGTATATATCCTTACACATATTTGCATTACCTTGATGTGTGTTTTCAGCTTCCAAGACACCCAAACAACATTGCTTCTTTGGCATTCAACCATGATGGTTTGCTTTTAGCAGTTGCATCAAGTTACACTTACCAAGAAGCTAAGGAAAGGTTGGGCATGTTTAGTAATTGCATCTAGTAGTATATATAATCATTCTTGTGTGGCATACAATCATTCTTAATAAATGTATTCAAATCATTCTTGTGTGGTATACGTGTGCAGTAATTGTAAATTTTTAATATTTTAGGTTTATGAGGGCACCAAAAGAGATTAGATTTTTTAAAGTGATGAAGAATTCGAAGTTCGGGATGCGTTGGTCATATAAGTGTGTGATGATTTATTATAAACTTTTAGTGCTGATAAACTTACAAAAGGCAATAACTTGTATTGCATTCATTATGGATTTTAGTGATGTATAACTTAATTTGTTTTGGATTTATGGTTTTGATCGATCAGATACCTAGATTGTCGAATTGATTTGTTTCTTATTTTGTAATATATTGTAGTATAAACCAGATTTATAAGTTTGGTAGTATCGAAAAACAAAAATAATGCATCAAATAACAATGTTTTAGAGAGTTTTTGCCGCGAAATTATAAGTTATTTTCTGCGGTTTAGAACCGCAGCAATAAGTCAAACCCCGTTTTTTGCTGCTACCTATTTGATGACTATTAGATGCGGTTTTGGACCGTAGCAAATACGTTTTTCTATTATTTGTTGCCCTGCCAATTGCTGCGGTTCAGAACCGCAACAAATAGGTAAAAATGACAGCAACAAATAGCTATTATTCTAGTAGTGGATGTCGTTTATCCTAATGTTGAAGTTGAGACAACTCCAGATGCATGTACTTCTGGAAACACCGCCAGTGAAGGAATTCTTGATGCTCAGTTAATTGCCCCTGTGATTTTTGAGGTTCCTATGGATGCACAGGTTTACACACCTGCTGATAACCAGGTTCCTAGGTCTGCTGACGGTCACCCAACTGCCCTCAAAGCTTTGATCATGATGAACCCCCTATGGCTACCTGTAAAAAGGTGGTAAACGTGGGAGTTCAAACTATACATGCAGGTCCTGATCTTGGAATCCAGAATGATGCTAAATTTGGAAATGAAGAACAACATTGTGATCCATCTTTAGCAATTAACATCGTGGATACTATACTTGATCCATCCCGGTCCAATGATGATAATATATATGAGGACACCCCCCTTAGTACTAACTTTTCTAATGCAGGTCATCCACATTTACCACCACAGGTAGACCTAGATGGCTTTACTCCAGTGAAGAAGAAGAAAAATAGAGGCAATTGTGCCATGCCACCAAACGGAACTCTGGAAGCCAAACAACTATTCTACGAGGTGGGATACACATCACACTCGATGATCACAAGAAGTCAATCCAGATGCCCGCAAAATGAAGATGACTATTACATATACCATGTTGGTGCGAAGCTAGACTCTTCGCACAAACTTGCTACGACAATCACGCGATACAAGTCTTCTAAACCGAAAGCCAAAACCTACCAACCCTATCTCCAAAAGGCTATTATGTTCCATAGCAGATTTAATAGATCTATTTCAGCTACAGTCGGGATACCTTCAAAAAACATCAACTGTTAAACCCTTGTTTCTTCTTTCAGCTTTTGACTGTATGCTTTTTCTTATCTGTCCCGTTTCTTAAACTCTCTTGTAATCTACTTATTATTAATAAATTTGGGTGGTGTTCCTCAGCACTCCCACCATCTAGTGTGGTTATTTCCGGAAAAAAACACATCATAAACAAATGATTAAGTAAGTAACATCCAATATTTTGCAGGTGGACATACGTCATAAAGTAAAGTGTTTCACAGATTCAAAAAATTCTAGGTCTTCAAGTAGGACTTAGAAATTTTTTCCAAGTTTTGCTTGTCATCTGTCCTTCGGCCTACGCCTTCGCTTGGTTTGCATTGAATAGGTCTTCATTGCATGATGGGTTGGCTGAGGGCCAACCATCTAGAGCTTGGGACATTTTCCATATTCCATGGTGAATAGGCCCTTCGGTTTGTAATATCCTGAGTAAGAGATCCCTCGATGAGTAGGAGCTGTCTTCGATCTTTGTTGATCAGAAGAGCCTTCAGCATTATTTGAAATGTTGTTGAGTGAACCTATCAAGTTCTGTATGATTTGAACCTTCGGTGTTTGATGTATTCGGGGGCAATCAAAAAGTGGACTTAGCCATTTGTCGATGATACTTGTTGAATAGTATCCTTGGTAATTTAGGAGCTTCCAGGTACTGAAAGGTGTTCCCGTGGGGAGCCCTCGGTATGTTCCTGTGAATTTGTTGGAGTGGTGTACTCATTGATTTCTCGCTGAGTCTACTCCCCTTCACCACCCCATTTTTTTTTGTAGTGAAGGAAAGGCTTCAAGAAACTTGGTTTCTTGGTAAGGCTTGGCCTATCGGGAGGTAACAGAATACACCATTAGCTCCCCCCTCGGGTTAACCTTCCGAGTTCCGAGGGGATCGAGGGTCGTTTCCTGGGCATAAGACATAGTCTGTAGCCTGCCTCCCCTTGGGAGATGGCACGGAAAGCGCCTCAGTTTTGAAAGTTGTCCCCTCGGCGCCAGATATATTCCGTGGCCTGCCACACCCTTGGGGTAGTGGCGCGGGGAGCGTTTCGATTTTTGAAAGTTGAATCCTGGGCATATTACCTGCCTACCACACCCTTGGGGTAGTGACGCGGAAAGCATTTCAGGGAAGGGTTTTCATTTGCACACTAGTTGCAAATGGCCGGGGGCACTACGTGCTGCCGGCACCGATAGGTGGCGCCTTCGGTATATACGTCCTCGAGGGGTACGGCTTTGGAAACAACACTTGGTGTTTGTTCCGGTGTACGGCCCCCGGTACTTGGTACCGAGGGGTCTTCTTTGAAAACACTTGGTGTTTTTCTTCCGTTTGTTGAAAGTTGACCGTGGTGTATCCCCCCGGCATTGGGTGCCTAGGGGTCTTCATTGAAGACAGTTGGTACTTTCTTCCTTGTTGCAGGTGATAGTATTGTCTACCCTCAGCACTTGGTGCCGAGGGTTCTTACTTGTGATAAGGCCTTGGGCCAGGGGGTGATATGAGGGTTTGGCCACTCGTAAGAGTCTTGTTCCATGTTCTGGATGTCTTCAATATGCCTTCATTCTTCAAAATCTTTAGGCCTTGGGCTGCAAAATAATACATTCACTAGTTATGAGGGCTTGGCCGCTCTGATGTTATTGATAAAATTTAACTAAGTGATGTACATTCCAGTGTCTAGGGACTTCAGTCCCATTGGGGCGTTTTAGTTTGTAGGTTCCTAGTTTGATGATGGCCGCCACGATGTAGGGGCCTTCGAACTTTGGTGCCATCTTTCCGCCCTCGGTTGGTTGGCTAGCTTCCCTTCTTCGGAGGACATAATCCCCACTTGGAATTCCCGGGATCGACTTTGACGTCAATGTAACTCTTCACTTGCCTTCGGTAGTTTCCCGCACGTATAAAGGCTTGCTCTCAGCGTTTTGAAATAAGGTGAAGGTCGAGGGCCATATTGGCATCATTGACCTCAGGGTCATATTGTGTGACCCTTCGGGTCGGAAGAGTTACCTCAGTGGGGGCCTTAGCTTCAAATCCGTAGCAAGGGGAGAAGGGTGTCTCGTCTGTTGCTCGTCGAGGGGTGGTACAGTAGGCCCATAAGATGTTGTGGAGCTCTTCTACCCAACCGCCCCCTTCGGCCTCCAGTTTCTTCTTTAGGCCCTCGAGCAAGGTCCTGTTGGCGTTCTCCACTTGACCGTTGCCTTGAGGGTAGGCAACGGATGAAAAGGTGTGTTTGATGCCCCACGCCTCTAGGAGGGCGCAGAAGGGGGCTGCCTCAAACTGAGTCCCATTGTCAGAAATGATTTGCTCGGGGACGCCAAACCTTGTGAGGATGTTTTTGAGGAAAAAATGACGACACCTGGCCTCAGTAATGCTGACGAGGGGCTCAGCTTCCACTCATTTGGTGAAGTAGTCGATGGCGACGATGATGTACCTGTTGTTGGAGGTACCCCTCGGCAGAGGGCCCACAAGGTCTATGCCCCATCGAGCGAAGGGTATGGATGTGCTGATGGGGGCATAGTTGACCGCAGGCCTGCCAGGGGCTTTTTGGAAGTGTTGGCATGCGGTGCACCTTCTGGCGAGGTCTGCACAATCCCGGGCCATCGTAGGCCACAAGTAGCCCTGGATTATTAGCCTTCGGGACATGGAGAAGGGTCCCTGGTGAGCTGAACAAGTGCCACTGTGCACTTCCTCCATCGCAATTTCGGCTTCATCTTGATGAAGGCACCGAAGTAACGTCCCGTTGTAGGACCTTTTGTAAAGCCTCCCGTCTTCGATAGTGTAGCTAGGAGCCCTCAGCTTTGCGATCTTGGCGCGGGCCTCATCCTCGGGCAGTTGCCCTATGGTGATGAAGGCGACAATGTCTGACATCCAGTCATCTTGCCTTTGTTGTATGTGCATGATGGGGCTAGCATGTATGCTAGAGAGGCTGAGCTCTTCCACTTTGGCAATCTTTGAGATATGCTCAGGGGATTCGGCTGAGAGCTTGGATAAAATGTCGGCCTCGGAGTTTTGAGCCCTCGGTATTTGAGTAAGAGAGTGTGCCTCAAATACCTTAAGCAACTCCTTGGCCGCTTCTTTGTACTGCTTCATTCTCCCTTCCTTGGCTTCGTACTCCCCAGAAATTTGGCCGACAACTAATTTTGAGTCGCATTTGACGTGGATCTGTCGGGCCTTCATGTTAGCTGCCAGCCGAAGGCCACAGAGGAGGGCCTCGTATTCGGCTTCATTGTTAGAGACTTTGAAGGAGAAGCGGACTGCATAATAGGCCCGGAAGCCTTCGGGTGAGATGAGAACCACCCCTCCTCCACATGCTTTGACGGCGGAGGAGCCATCGGTGTAGAGGGTCCACCAATCATCCGAGGGGGGCGAGGGCTCCTCGTCCGTGGCTGATCTTGCCGTACATTCCGTCACGAAGTCCGCCAGGGCTTGGCCCTTGATGGCAGGCCTAGGACGGATGTCGATGTTGTATTGGCTCAGGAAGACAGCCCATTTTACCATTCGAGAGGAGCTGGTGGGGCTCCTCATCAAAGCGTCGAGGGGTTGGTTTGTGAGGACCTGGACCGGGTGAGCCTGGAAGTAATGGCCCAACTTTTTGACGGTCCACACGATAGCCAACACCGTTTTTTCCACAGGGGAGTACCGGAGCTCTGCTTCCCTGAGGGTCTTGCTAACATAGAAGATGGCATGTTGGATGTCATCCTCTTCCCGGATGAGTACTGAGCTGATGGCTGTCGGGCTAACACCCAGGTAAAGGTATAGGATCTCCCCCACCTTGGGTTTAGAGAGCACAGGGGG